CAATTTAGCCCATGCACTGTCTGGTCTGAATTCCATGGGATTTCTCCACATACTCAGTTTACCTGAGAAGCTGTATATACTGAATGAAAGGTTTATTAAACATCAGAACTTCCTGGCCTTTTCTTTGCCTTCACCCCTTCCATTTGATAGCTGAATGTACTGCTTTACTTAAGAAACCCAAAGTGCCCTGGCAGGAGGGAGGCATAACACAAGCATGTGCCCCAAATACTGGGAATTGTCAGTGCAGCTCTGGCAGCACAACTCATTCCTGACCCTCAGCACCTCTGCCACGGGCACATCTGCAGGGCTCATCAGGACAGACTTAGCATGCATAGTCAACACCGTCTACAACAGTGCAATGATCCAAAAATTATCTATTGAGGGGAAAATCTTATATCAGTGAGGTCCTTCTCTGCTTAATTGGAATGTGAGGATACGGGTCTTATGAAAGAAAATGCCAATGTCTGTGTCACTCTGGTCTTTCCCTCTTCAGCATCTTTTCCTGCCTCTTAAACAGGACAATACCTGTTTGTTTATACATGTTCAGTTGTCCTGGTTTCGGCTGGGATAGAGTTAATTTTCTTCATAGTAGCTAGCATAGTGCTGTGTTTTGGATTTAGTACCAGAAGAATGTTGATAACACACTGATGTTTTTAGTTGTTGCCAAGTAGTGCTCAGACTACTCAAGGACTTGAGTAAACCATATAATGTCATGCTCGGGGGGAGTTAGTCAGTTGGTCGGTTGCGAGGAGAGTGATTGCTGCTCGGGGACTGATCGCGGCTCAGGGAGGGATCACTGCTTGGGACAGGCTGGGCATCAGTCGGTGGGTGGTGAGCAATTGCGTTGTGCATTGTTCATTTTGTATATTCTGTATATTCTGTTACCATTCTCATTATTACTATTATTATTATTTTCTTTTATTAAACTGTCTCTATCTCAGCCCATGGCTCTAACCTTTCTTCTCCTTCCCGATTCTCTCCCCCGTCCCGCTGAAGGAGGGGGGAGTGAGCGAGCGGCTGCATGGTGCTTAGTTGCCAGCCGGGTTAAACCACGACATCAGTGAACTCGGCAGTCTTGCACATTCTGTTTTAGATTAATTTCTTGGCTGAGGTGAGCAATGTGAATAAAGCTTTATATGTAGATCCAGGGGAATCTGAAGGTTGATTTTAAACTTGAAGCTAGTTACGAGGAAAAAATGACAATGCAAGATCTTGTGTTCTGTCTGGTTTAGAATGGAGCTCTCACATATCCACTGAAGCATTTTGCTTTAGTGTTTTCAAATGAAGAAATTCTGGGAATTTATGACTACGCATACACATACACACACAGAGAGAATGATTAAACCAATAATAAAAGCTTCTTATTACTAGAAGAGCTATCAAAAGTCACAAGGTAAATGGGAGATTCAGACCGGCATAAACTAAAACTTTCTCCACTTCCCCAGCACCTCTTTCACACTGTGCTTAACAACGTGATATTTTCATGCAAGTTTTCCTGCAGTTGTAGCAGGGCTGGGAATATTAAAACATAACTAACAAACCCTTGGATCCTCATCATTTACCGTGATATCATAATAGTGATTTTTTACGTCCAATTCTTAATCTACTATATTTCAGGAATTTCTAAATTTAATGGCTTCACTGTGAATTATTAAGCTTGGAGATTATAAATGCTTTTTATAAAGATTGCTTCTCATTGATGCTTTGTTAATTTTAAAACACAATGATAAATATAAAGCTGAACTTAATATCTCATGTCATCTGTTCATAAAATAGTACTTTTGCCTATCAGCATTAACCACTGCCTGAGATAAGTCCGTTCTGCCAGCCTACCTGTGAGACCTGAGCCGGTCTAATTGTTCTGGCACGTCAGAACGTTTTACATTAATATTGGGAAGTTTTCCTACCCATGGATTACGTTCTGTTGCAACTTTTTGGCACATCCTCTGACTTTAAGTGGGGTAAGTAGGCTTTTAACACTAACAGTGAAGGAATATAAGCTGTGTTTTCCAAAGCTTGTGTCCTGGGCCGTATCTACAAGCTGCGGTGTAGCATGATGCAATTTGCATTTCTCTGCACATCAGGGGCTGCTGCACTGGAGGAAGGATTCAGTCTCAGGTAGGAGGAGACTAGGACATGCTGCTTGGATTCTGCAGGCATTCTCACCAGCAGAATCAGCACAGCTCCCAGCTGGTTTCATCCTGCTGAGCAGTCTTGCATTGGCTGGTCCTGACATTTCCAAGATACAGGAGCTCGCCATCCTCTTTCTTCTCTGCTTGTACAAACCTACCACCAATAGGAATCCAGCTGCACAAGACCTTCTGTGCAAATTAAATAGTATTGCTGCTGGAACCACAACAAGGAATTAGTGAAACTTCTATTGTTAGTTTCTTGAAAGACTCATAAAATGTAGGGTTTTTTGTGAAATTACAGAAAGACGTAACGTGTCTTTTCACCCATTTTCAGCCACTGTCAAAATCACTAGAGCACAGGGGATGCTTTCTGATTTGGTACACATGTGTGTGAACTCTCTCAGTGTGTGTTACATGCCCATGTCCACTTAGAGTGCTGTAATCACCATATCTCATTAGAGAACAGAACCTTTATCTTTTCTGCCTCCACCTCTGGCTCTGTTTTCTTTTATTATGAATACTGAATACCAAGATTTTTTTCATGTGAATCAAAAGAATTGTTTTGATTAGATAAAAGGAATAAGTTTCATTTTGGGTCAGTTCTCTGTCCTGAAAATTTCTTCTAATTTTTCAGTTAAGTCACCAAACCAAAATGAAGCATTCACACAGTTCTTATAAGTATCTCACTGACATGCTAGAAGGCTTACTTAAATCGTATTTGTGAAGCAATTTGAGAACAACAGAAATGCTGACTAAGATGCATTTATGGCCACTTCTCCTTTATCCACGTCCCGCTTCATTGGCAGGGGTATGTCTGCCTTGTCACTTCCCCAGCACTAAACTATGCACTGAAGAACACTAAGGCCACTGTCTCCTTGAGCTTCCTTGTGTGCAGCTCTGGTTATTAAGGCTGAGGTAATGCAAAAAAAGTTCAACACAAAACCAGTACAAATTTCTATTATAAACCAGATTAAATATCACAAATTCAGCATCCATTTGTACCTTTTCCTGTTCATCTCAAAGGCCTGAGCTGCAGGTTTTTGGACTTGAAAACTTCATCTATGGAGGTTCAGTTTTTAACCTGAACTAACAGACTTGTAAACCTTCCCACTTTCAGTAAAGCTGAAGGTCCCTGGGCATTGGTCAGTGTTTCAGTAAGGTTTCAGTAAGGCTCACAGGTGGAAATAAACTTCCTACAAAAATGTGCCTGATAAAGTCAATGATTTTTAAAACGTTAATCCAGAGGTGGGGATTTGTACTGAGCCAGGTTTTGGAGACTTTAGTGTTTCTAACATGGTCTCCATCAGAGGACATTCAGATGGTTCCTGGCTGAATTTTTCTCAGCATCATGCCACTTCTTGTCCACAGAGATATGTGGTGGTCTAATGCGTGACCCTTCCTAATGGTTGGGTCACACAACTGTCTGTAGAGTAGTTATATGAACATATTAGCAGTGTAATATGTTGTTTAAAAGTCTTGTCCTGTATGGTGTAAGTATTATCTAAAAGTACTTTTTTTTTTTTAAGCCTGGATGAACCTCCCTGTCCCTCCCTGTGGACCAGGTGCTAGCTGCAACACAGAAGGGCATTGTCCTATCACTACATCTAAAATTTCATTGCAGTTTTATTTTGGCTCTTGAAACATAAAATCTGTAAATGAAAAGCAACGACTTGCTGCTGCTGTTTCATGTTGCTAGGAAAAACATGCTGCTCTGCAATGTCACAGCAGCACAGCATGGATGTCATAGTGATGTCTGAGAATCTTCCCTTGGGATGCTTCGTTAGTTGATCACTTCCTTTCAGCTGGCTGTCTGGCAGGACAGTCTAGCTGCTAAGGTAGATGGCTTCAACTGAAAAATTTACTTAGACTGAGAAAAAAGAATTTAAACTGGAGCTTTCCTCATTGTAAGAGTCATGTGATTCTGTTCTGGCCAAGGGAGTTGACTTGTCAGGCTCCACTTCTCTCCATCCAGCATGATGAGCAGCCTAGTGACGCTGCCTTTGGACCGCCAATAGAAGAAAGGGCTTTACAGACTTTGACTAAGTGACCCCAGTCAACAAGAGAGCTTCTGAATTCATCTGAGGAGAGCTCTAGCACAGGCGATGCCTCGACATGCCTCAGCTTTCTGAAGAAGCTCTGGAGCATTGTTGAAAGCAATCAGTTTGAGTCCATTTGGTGGGGGGACAACAGAAAGTGCGTAGTGATTCATGAGGAGTTTTTCGAAGAGGACACGCTATTCATCTGTTTTATATGGGAAACGAGTTCATGATTGTGTGACTTGTATATGCTGCAATCGTTCATCAATTCTGCTTCACAGTGGTGGTCTGTAAAGCCAAATTTTAAGACGTCACTTCCCCAAAATATCTTTTTGCATCTGTTGGCTTTAGAATGGCCTTACTTCACCCCTGTATCTAGCTTTTTCCTAGAAACAGCTAATTAATGTCAGTTGAGGACCAAAAATTTATTCAGTCCTCTCTCAAAGATCTTGCTAGCCTCCAAGAGACTGTCATTGGCATCGGGTGTGCAGCACTGCTCTCTTGTTGTGTGACAAAGTGCCATGCTTTTCATTCATAGTAAAATGTAATAAAATAAAAAGTCTCTAAAATCTAAAAGTGTTTTGAAATCTGAGAATGGGATTACATTTTGCCCCATGGACAGTGTGTCAGTATCCAGCTGCACGCTTTGCAGGTTTATGTACACAGGAGACTACCACAGACAACTTCAGTCTGAACCTTTGGTACGAAACAAAATGACAGGCTGACAGGTTGGGCTCAAAGAGGGGTTATATCAGGCTGGCAGCCAGTCACCAGCGGGGTTCCCCAGGGCACAGTTTCAGGGCCAGTGTGCCTTAGTGGTTTTGGAAATTACCTGGATGCAGGAGTTGAATGTAACTTAAGTAAGTTTGCCGATGATACTGAACTAGTAGGAGCTGTGGACTCCCTCGAGGGTAGAAAGGCCTTACAGAGAGGTCTGGATAGACTAGAGAGCTGGGCTATGAACCATATGAAATTTAACAAGAGCAAGTGCTGGATTCTGCACCTGGGACAGTGTAATCCTGGTTATACATACAAACTGGGGGGCAAGAGGCTGGAGAGCAACCCCACGGAAAGAGATCTGGGGGTTCTGGGTTGATGGCAAGTTGAATACAAGTCAACACAGTGCCGTGGCAGGCAACAGGGCCAACTGTGTCTCGGGGTGCATCAAACACAGCATAGCTAGTTGGTCCAGGAGGTGACTGTCCCACTCTACACTACACTGCAGTTTTGGTCACCTCAATATAAGAAGGACATCAAACTATTAGAGTGTGTCCAGAGGAGTGCGACAAAGATGGTGAAAGGTCTTGAGGGCAGGACCTCTGAGGAGTGGCTGAGGTCACTTGGCTTGTTCAGCTTGGAGAAGAGAAGGCTGAGGGGGGAACCTCATCGCAGTCTACAACTTCCTCAAGGGGGGCAGCAGAGTGGGAGCTGCTGGTCTCCTCTCTCTGATGACAGGCAATAGGACACAAGGAAATGGAATGAGGCTGTGTCAGGAGAAGTTCAGACTGGACATTAGGAAAAGGTTCTTCACTGAGAGGGTGGTTGGTCACTGGAACAAGATCCCCAGGGAAACAGTCATGGCACCAAGCCTGCCAGAGTTCAAGCAGCATCTGGATGATGCTTTTAGTCATATGGTTTAGTTTTAGCTAGTACTGTGAGGAGCAGGGAGTTAGACTTGATGATCTTTATGCGTCCCCTCCAACTCAAGATATTCTATGATTCTATGAGATGACCTTGAATCAAGAAGTGTGAAATGTATCTCAATTTCATAGGCCAGAAGGTAAGGGCAGAATTGCTCATTAAGTCCACAGTGATGCAGACTCCAACCACAGGGTGGTAGTGCCTGTGCCCCAGCCATGGGGGCACTAAAAGATCTTAATGGCCCTGCCCAGCCTCATTTGTGGCTCCCACCCCCACCCTACCCATGGCCCGGGAGCCCTGTTTAAGCTCTGCTCTGGGCCTGCAGTCCCAGCTGGACGAGGGCTGGTCTCCAGCACAGCTGGGTCTGGCTGCCCCCTCTTCAGACCTGCTCCTGACCTGCAGGCTGACTTTGTAGCGTGACCTCAGACCTGCTTGATTATCAGGGACTTGTCTGATGATCTGGGCTGGCCCCAGCCACACTCTCTGGGTCAGCCTCCCTCAGGTATTGTGGGGTGGGTGCTGGTGAGTCCCCTGCCCTGCCAGGGCTGCATCCCCCAGCTCTCCATCCTGCGTGAAGCAGCTACCCCTTGCTTCACCCTGACACCTTCTTAGAAGGTATTTGTACCTTTGCATGGTTTGGTTTTGCTCCATGTCAGTAAAAGACTGATGTTCAGCCTTTTTCCCCATGTTAATTCATGGATGGCTAAGTTTACTACCTCCACTTTGGAGGGATGGAAATTGTATCTTCTGTACCAGTTTTGGTATAAAATCCCAGCATTTTTCAGCTCAAAGGGCAAGTTGGGGGTGCAGCTGAAGGACTACTTTGGGGATAAAAAGGACATCTGAAGTCATCTGCTTCTTATCTCCCTCTTTGAGTTGGTGAACTAAATGTAAGAAAATACAGTTTAAAGTTTATCTGTAACTGGTAAAGCTGCCCTTTCCTATCCTGCAGCGAGTTGGCTATAGACATCCAGGCCTATGACAGCTCTCGCCTGGATTATTTTTCTTTATTTGTGCCAAAATAAGAAGCTCAGTCATATCAGCTGTGATGGGGATGAGAGATGGCAGACAGTTACGAGGTAGGACAAGCCAAGGGGAGCCTATTATGTCAGTATGTGCAGCTTCCTCTGATTACTTACAGTCAGCTCGACAACAGGGTTTTGATGCTGTTCCTAACAGGGCAAATGTGTGGGGCATTTAAAAATCATCTCCTTACAGAAAACCCCAGGAAAAGATGTGAGCACCCTGCACACTGCAGCCCTGAGAGCTGTCCTGAGCCTAGCAAAAATGCGGCCTTCCCAAGCCCTGAGGCAGCTCCTCTCCTGAACAAGGAGAGACTAATATATAAGGTTGTGTTGATTTGGGAAAGCCTGGTGGTTCTTTTTCCTCTGAAAAAAAATAGTTTTGCCACTTTTTTTTTTTTCCATTTATTTAAAACTCTTCCTTGTGTTTTGGGGGGGTTTATCAAGTTACTAGAAAACAAATTTTCCTGTGCCTTCAGCAGTCAAAACACACACACACAAAATTTATTGCCAAAGACAAGGGAAAAATTGCTCTGTCTTATTTGTCAGCCTCTTACCCCAGCTATTGGATTTTGTTTTTTTCATAAAACTTTCTACCCTATTAAAAGCTATTTTCAAAGTTTTGATGATAAAATGTTCATGCACTTTGTTCAGCAGTAAGTTTCACAGTATCTCCTACCATCTGCTGCACTGTAAAAGATTTTCCCCCTATGAAGACTAAATTTATAAACACAGAAATGCAGATTTCGTGTCAGCAAGTTCTCCTCCGGAGATTAGGAATGATCTGCATGAGCAGGGACTGTTAGCTTGATTGTATCTTAATATTGAACAGTCCCTAAATTGCTGGTTAAATAAAGCCAGACAAGATACAGATAGACTGATTTTTATTTATAAAATGTATATAATTAAGATAATGCAGAATCTGAAGGAGCTGTAAGAATACAAATCTATGTAAATAAAGAAATCATATCTATGTAAATAACTGACTTGGGGCATGATAAAAGGAGTTTCTCGTTAAATGAAATGGACTGTTTGACCTGACAGATCTTGTTTTGGAGGGTTTTAACACTTCCTTAAACTTTCATGTATGAATCAACTTTTTTGAACAAAATACAAAAACTTTCAAGTTGATCTGAATTTTAATTTTCCTTTCCTTCCTCCTTAAATACCATGTATTTGCTCTGGCACCTAACTGGAAAACAACTTGCTGCAGGAACAAGAGGTGGAATGTGGTGAGCTTGGTGCCTCTCTAACCAAAAAGACTGAGGACTGGTGCTGTAATGTGCACGTGAACTGGGAGTCGATGCAGAAAGAGTAGGGCAGGGAAGGTGTGATTTAGTCCCAAACAGAAGTCTGGCTGACATGGACACACAGTATTTGGAGGAAGGCAAATGTTGTCTTACCTGACCCTCAGTGATGTGTTGCAGAACAGACCTTGTAATATTTTCCAGAGTCTAAAATATGACCAAGTGCAGTTGGATGTATGCTGAGCAAAAGAGAATGGTTTCAAAAGTGACCCATCATGCTCCACACCTCATCTGGGTCTTGAATGTCCAAGAGCAAGTATGAGTTTATTTAGTCAGTTGCATGAAAACTTGGACTTCAGGCTCAGCCTAGCAACGCTTCTACAATTGCTGAACTCTTCCTGTGCGTAACTGTCTTGATTGTTTTGGAACTGCTCAAGGCTGTAAAGTCAAGAATGTGTTTGCAGAACTGAAGCTCAACAATGCACAAGCTACACTGGCAGGAAAGGAAGGAATGAAACCTGATCTTTTTACCTATGAAACTACTCAGAAATCATATATGCTTGATGGAATATGTGGTACTTAAAATGCAAGTGTTGTACTGAACTGTTTCTCTGGAGGAAAGTAGCTTCTCAGTCTGAGATACGTGCCGTATGATTAGCTGCTACTACAGAATCTCTCCTCCTTTTCTACTTTGTCCTTTTGCTGAAGTGGTGACTTACAACAGAGGTAGACAACTCAAATCTCTTGAACTGAGAGTATTCCAACTTTGATATATCCACCTATACCAGGAATATGAGACAGGTGTCATGGGGAAAGTTAATAAAATTTATTAGCCCATCTTTTAGGAAGCCCTAAGGAATGATTAGTGTGTGAAAGCCTGTCTGCTATTTCTGCTTTAACAGTTGATTACCTGCGTTTGGAAACTTTCAAAGGTTTGCTGCCATAATAAGCTACATCAAGTTGTTGGTTTTCAATACTCTTAAAAGTGGAACTCATGGTGAAATTATTTGGCTTTAGCTGGTTTGGTAATAAGTTGAAATGGTAATAACAGCTAACCAATACAGCATGCCCCCTGCACTGCGCCTCTGCTGTTTGGATGTCTGACTTTGCACTGTGCTGCTTGATCTCTCCCCAGGGTTGCGAAGCACAGCGGAGCACAGCACCTTGCCCTTGGGGGAAACTCATCTGGGAAACTGAGCTAACCTTGTCACTGAAACTTTTTGTAGTAGTACTGCAGTCCTTTAGAAACCTGGAAAAACATGCTAACAAAATCCAGACTGATTAGTAAATGTTTGGGATGAAAATAGATTTTCATTCTACACAAAGTCTCTTCCTGGTGCTCCAGAAACAGGCTGGTCACACAGGGAGCCAGAAGCAAGAAATATCCTTCCTCTACCTCCACTGTGATAGCTAGACGGCTTGTGGAGTAGAGGTCTGCATCTGTCATTGCTGAAGGAAGGGTAAGAGACCTACTGAATGCAGCATGTATCTCAGTATGATTAACACTCTGTTCCTAACAAGCATGTAGAAAGGAATAAAATACCAAACAGCTCATCCTATCTGCCACAGCCTCCCCAAACCAAACCTTTCCACAGGTGAAGGAGTAGCTCCTTACGAGCATACAGAGCAGCTGAAAGGAGTTGTGTGGTTTCTGTTCATGAAACCTGCCTCTGAAGAGAAGCAATGGCTGAAACACCAAATACTGAATTGCATAATATTTCTCATTCTATGCAGGTAGTCCACAAAAAACATGATGGTATTTTTCTGTAAAAGAAGAGATAGTGGATTAAGAAAAATAATAGAGCATGAGGAATAGAATAGCAAAATTCCAATGTTGACCTTTTGCAGACAAAGATAAGCATCTGAGGGTTTTCAGTGATAGGTATTTTCTATGGGCTGTTTTAAAAATGCTAAATGCAGTCTTTTGTGTTTATACCAATATTTGGAAGAAGCACGAGGTATTGTTTTACGATGAATCATGATCAGAAAATAACCGAATCTGAGAGGCTTGTGAACA